AATAAAGTAGAGTTACGCAATAAGGTAGAGTTAAGCAATAAAGTAGGGTTACGCAATAAAGTAGAGTTACGCAATAAGGTAGAGTTACATAAGTTGGATTTTAGGCATTACCTCCAACATATTTGTCGCTATGTTCAGCTACCTCTGCCACAATTTGGTTAAGAGACGAAAACGGTTGCCCTCCAATACTGGAGTTGACAATTGTAAATCCTGTCATACTGGAAATCCTCGCCATTAACAAAGGCACTTTTTAATGCAAGATAATGACAGAGTAAATGTTTCAATATGTTATTCACTGTACCCGTCCCTCGCCCCTTTCCCCCCTTTCCGACACCCAATACCATTCCGATCCCTACCCCCTATATCTTGCAATTACCTGGGTCTCCTAATGGGTAGTATGCCAAGCGTAAGTCTTTGGATCCTTTCAGGTTTTGGCTTGAAAACTCGGGTTTTGGTGCAGCTTTTCAAAAACAAAAACAAAAAMAAAMAAAAACAAAAAAAAACGAACAGTAAAGTAGGAAGAAAAACATTCAAAATAAAATGAAATAATGAAGAAATAGAAAAAGTGCGCGCAATTTTTTTAAAAAGCAGGCGGGGATTGGCAGAAGAAGAAAGAAGTGTAGGAAAAGCACAAGGCGTAGCGGAGTGCTTCCCGACACTTCTCGTGTGTTCTGCCGATCCCCTAGTGCTTCATAACCACACACGGCACAGAAAGCCAATTTTTTTATATTTTATTAAATACAAATCAGGCTAACCGTTATTTTTTGATACGAATGACAAAACAGAAAGTGCACCTGGTGCTGTGTGATTTCATAAAGCACGCGCTCCAACAATTCAGGAACACGATATTCATAACAGTTATCTTACAACTCATTTTAAAAACACATGTATATTATCACTAAGAGTGTGCGTCAGCGCCAACAATTACGAGCTCTGGGTTTCCTCAAAACAATCTTTACGAAATAAACTTAACACACATTACGACGTCAACAGTTGGTCAAAATATTATGTACTCATAAGGCGTAGCCGAGATGCAAGCTTGCGCTGGCTTCGTGGGTGCGCGAGCGATTCGTTGTTTTGACGTAATATCATAGAGGACAAATGGACTACTTCGACGATGAGGCGGCCATCTTGCCAGGGGGAAAACAAAACAAACGGACAATATATAGAATTTCGTGTGTCTGTCTTTCTTTTATGGGTTAAGGTTATTGATTAACCGCGCCCCATAATGCCTTGCAATCCAAAATGGCCGCCGTATCGTCGAAATAGTCCATTTCTCAAATATTTCAACGCGTAGTTTCACGCGTAAATTTGTAATTTTATTCTGGGCGAGATTTTGACCCATTATTGACAGATATTTTTTAATAAGGTGTTAATGTTTACAAAACTTTAGAAACCCGATTTCTAGCTCCGTAACTTGCGCGTACCAGTCAACTTGAAGAATATTATTCAATGCATGCGAAGCGGAAATGATTTTGGTCACGAGCAATCCGCGAACGTATTATTYATATTATATTATATTTTATTTTATATTATTAACGTAGTATTTTAACACATGCCCAGGGTTTTTTAATAAATTGACACAACATCGTACGTAATAAAGAAATAGATAAAGAAATTTTACTTGTATACTTACAGAAACACATTTCTTCTGGTTTTATATACGTCCTGAAGAAAGAGATGAAATATTCAAATGCACAAATGAAATAATCACTAAGCCAGTGAGTATGTTATTATTATCACGATGAAGACGATAATGATGATGACTATCTTCAGTCATCATCATCATCACCATCAATCATCATCACCATCATCAACACCACTAAATTGCCCTAATATTCAATATGACGTCACGTCAAAACAATCTTCAACAATCTATTGTTTAAACGCAAAGGATCATGGTCGTTGGATGGGGTCAAATCAACGAAAATTCACCGAAAGTTGTTCTAAAACCCGTATCAATCCATGAAGAGAAGTAGAATAGCCAGCAAATGCTCAAAATATTTTTTAGTACATATTAACACATTATATCTGAAAACCAGACCATTTTAGATTAAACTGTTTCGCTAGGAGCAAATTTTGTTGAATTTTCTATTGGATTTTGCGATTCTATCCCCCACATAAACAAGCAGTGACGTCATAGTGAATTAGGTCAATTAACAAGAAAGGATGTCATGATTTTTAGGGTTATACCATAGAGGGCAAATTACTCCTAAATTTAATTTAATTCAATTTAAGTTTWAAAAAATTATTTTTTTAGTCACGCACATATGCCACTTATTATTTGGGTGTCCAGTTTATGACGAATAAAACAAGGCTTTTCTTTTTTATTCCTGTGATCAGTATCAGTATCAGTGTCATTCCGCTATTTCCAACTATAAATTGATCAGCAGGGACTATATAGTCTACACAGAGCCAAAGTTCTGATGTAGTAGTCCTTTTAGAACTTTTCTGTCTTGTGTAGATTTCTTAGCTTGGTGTTTATCAACATT